GGGGACGCAGGGGCCCCGGCACACAGGGGTGCGCAGAGCTCCAGGGAAAGACCGCTGCGCCCAAAGCCCGCCCTCCCTCAGACACCCGGGCAGACGCCCACGGCGCTGCCGAGGCCGGGCCCGACCGCCACTCGTGAGCCGCCGGGGGCGAGAGCCGCCGAGCTGCCTACGGAAGCCAGCTGGGAGCTGTCCAAGGTGGACCTGGCCCGCGGCGGCCGCTTTGCAACGCCCTGGGACCCCAGCACAATAGCGCCTAGGACGGCCCCGCACACTTCCCGTGCCCTCTGAGGGCAACCCTCGGGAGGCCCAGCGAGTGGGAGAGCCGGTGCCCAGGGCCTGCTCCCAGGACTGGCTGCCGCTGGGTGGGGCAGAGGCTCGGGATGGCAGAGGGGCCGACCGCGCGCAGTGTTGGGGGGCTGGGCCCGAGTGCGAAAGGTCCTGGGTTGGTGTGGCGAGGTCGGGGGTGGGGTGGGGGTGGGAGCAGACCCGGCTGGCTGGGCCTGGGGCGAAGACTGTGGAGAACGCAGTTTCTCGTGGAAAAAATAAATAAAACTAAAGATGCCACAGGGTGCATAGGGTGGACAGATCCAGGACTGCCGGCCTCCCCTCCAGGGCACTGACGGCGGGCAATGATGGAACCCGCCTCCCCAAACGCGGGGGGGTGCTCCTGGCAAGGCCCAGCCCTCCGTGGTGAGACCTGGGCCCTCCTGCTCCAGCCGTGTGGCCCACTGCCCTAGCACGGAGGCCTGGACAGCCGCCCTGCTCCTCCCCCGCCCCTAGGCCTGGCCTAGGCGGTGGTGTGGACTTGAGGAAGTGGCTGACGGGGGTCGCCAGGCTAGAGAAGAGTCCAGGGACTTAGGGAGTCTCCCTTGGCCAGCCCAGCAGAGCAGCCCAGGCCTGGACGGAGAGCGGAGAGCGGGGAGTACACCCCAGCCCTGGGGAGCCTTGGAGGGAGGTCGCCAAGGCTTTGCAGTCATTCTCCTGAGTGCTGCCCTCAGGGCTGTGGAAACCCTTTTATTAGAGCAGTTTACAAGGACAGGCTGCCCAGCCGGGCTCCCAGCTCCCGGCTCCCTGCATGGGCTGTGCTCACTGGGAGGAGGGAGGGCGGCTGTGGGCCCTGGTTATCAGCACCAAGGCCCCACTGCCTGCAGACCCAGCCTCCGGGCACAGGGCAGCTTCTGGGTGGAGGGAATGGCTTGGGCTCCTGCGGGCTGGGTTTCCAGGGCTGCCGGGGCAGGAGGCTGAGGGCGGGCAGAGGGGCGCCCCTAGATGGTGCTCCGCGACTTGGAGGGGACCTGGCGCAGCAGCAGGACCAGCGCCACCAGCAGCAGAGCGGCGAAGAGCAGGAGCAGAGGCCGCTGGGTCGCGGTGCATGACGACTGGAACACATCCAGGGGCAGCACTGGAGCGGAGTAGCCCCTTGGCCAGCAAGGGTGGAAGCCGTGGGTCTGGGGAACGACCAGGGCACAGGCGGTACTGCCCCCACCGCAGGCCCTGCCCGCCGCCTCCACCCCAGAGGACCAGCCTGCAGGGTCCCCACAGGTCCCACTTGGGCAGCATCACCTGTGCTCAGGGGCAGTCTGTGCCACCCCTCGCCCGTGCGACAGACAAACAAGGCCCTCTGAGTTCTGCCCGCGCCCCCTTTCCTCAGGTCCTCCCGCAGCTGCTGGCCTTGCTTATTCCGGGCCCCTCTCCTCCTGGCCGGGCAGCTGTGAAAGCCTGCCCTGCAGAGGCCTCCGTACAGCTGCTGTCCGGACTCTGCTCTGGGCCCCCCGCCTTGTCTCCTCCTATGCCCTCCCTTCAGAAGGGCAGAGTGGTGTAGGTGGGTACCTTGTGGGCACTGGCTAGCAGCCTCTGAAGGACCTGGTCTCAGCCATAGCAGAGGAAGCTGTGGGTGTAGACTCGGTAGTGCTGGCCTTAGAGCCTCAGCTGGACTTCGTTGGCCTGAGCCTCAGCCGCACTGGCCATCTCAATGTGTGGAGGCCCCTCCCAGGTCCATGGCCCCCAGTGTCCCCTTCTTTGGCCGAAACCAGCGGCCCACCCAGTCGCACTGCAGAGTGGGGGTTGGGGTCAGCCAGTGGGAGGCGCTCACGTCCCCTGGCTGCTCAGGCCGCCCACCAGGCCCACCTTGATGAAATTCTCCAGCAGGTAGTTGGCTGTCACCCAGCCAAACACCCCCTCATCCTGGCCGGAGAGGGTGCGTGTGCCCTGGAAGTCAAAGGGGTACTGGGCCAGCATCCGCATCACGGCGGCAAACACTCTGGCAGACACGCTGGCAGAGGCTTCTGGACTGGACAGGCTGCAGAATGGAGTTGCTCAGAGGCTGGGGTGTGTCTAGTGAGGGGTCCCTGCCCAAGGCTGCTGAGCACAGGTGGAGGCCTCCCAGTAGTGCCCGGGGCACACTCCATGGGGCACATGCCCACCGTGGCTCCCAGGTAGAGGGGCGTGCCCATGCGGCTCCCCCTGGGCACGTCCCGAAGTGCCTGCTCCAGGCACTCAGCAAGACTCTGGCCAGCCCCAGAAGGGCCCTCTGGGTAGCTGGAGAGGCCCCCACCTGGAGGGAGCAGAGACAGGCCAGGACTAGGAGTGCGGTCCAGGAGCCAGGCCATGGGCCAGTGGGGCTGGAACCCTTCGTTCCCAGCCCAGGGGCAGCTTGGGCACGCCTTCCCCGTGTAAGCCGCTAGAATCACCAGTTGGGAGACAAAGGGGCCTAGTGCTGCCCAGCATCTCTGAGGCTGTCACTTGCTGGGTGGGTGTGGGCACAGGTGCCAAGACAGCTCTGGGCATTGTCAACCTGGGGGGGCCTGCTCGCACGTGCCACCAGATGGCCAGAGTGACCCCTCCCGGTCCCCCTGGTCCTTCTGGGGCACAGAGGCCACTTGGGCTGGGCCCAGATTCCCGCCTGCTGCCTGGACTTCTTTCCTTTCTGGAACAGACTGTCTCCTCTGCAGCTCTGCCTGGAATGAGCCAGGCCGGGCATGGGGCCCTGAGGCCTCGCAGGGAGTGGGGCTGGCAGTGAGCACCTGGTGCTGGGAGCCCACCTTGAACATCGCAGGAGCTGGGCTGTCCCACGACGCCCATGGAGCTCTTTGTCCGCAGGCCACTTATAAATGAACATGGACGTGTGCGAGGAGCCAGCTCCGAAGACAATGCCATACTGGGGGCGGGGCAGGGTCAGTGAAGGGCCCAGGGGCCTGAAGGTGGTGCCCTCTGACCCCCCAGCTCTGCGCCCGCTGTCCTGTGGCCTCTCCACATGGACTTAGAGAGGCCAAGGGCAACCTCAGTGTCACAGCAGTCTAGGAGTGGGGAGCAGACGACCCCGAGTCTTCACTGGGGATCCCTCCCTTCGTGACTGCCTGAAGCCAGCATGCCTAGTGCCAGGGACAGAGGGTCCAAGCTGGGAGAGGAAGCCCAGGCCTGCTCTTCCTTCCTCCCCAGTCTGCCTCCTGTTGTGGCCTCAGCCCAACCTTAGCAGCCCAGGGAGGCCCCGGACTTGCAGCTGGGCCCGCAGCCTGTGGGTGCCACATGCTGGCACCTGCTGGGGCCTGCATTCCAACTGGGAGGCCTATCTGGAGACCACACGTTCAGGGCCACCAGCTCCAGCCTGGGAGGGCTGCTCAGTCCTAGCGAAGCCAAGAGCTGGTGCGCCCTCGGACACTTGGGAAGGGGGGAGGGATGCTGCATGGCTCCCACCTCCCTGACTCCGCCTCTCCATCCCTCACACGCGGGACTTGTCTAACAGAGTTAAAGGAGTGCTCCAGCAGCCAGCTGGGCCTGGGGGACAGGCAAGGAGATCTCTCCTTCTAGCCCTGGTCCATCCACTTTTGTACCAGCCTGGGCTGCCCCACCAAGTCCCGCTTCAGGGCAGCGTCGCACTGTAGGGGGTCCTCCCGGGTGGCAGTAAGGGGTCCCTGGACCCGGGAGCCTCTAGCTCCTGGCTGGGTTTGTAACGGCTCACTCCCGGGTGGGCACAGGGCAAAAGTGACCCGGGCGCTCTGGAGGCTGCACTGGCTGGGGGTTGGGGGCTGGCTGCAGCCGGGGCACTCTCCCTCGGCTGTGGTGACGGGTCAGTGCAGACACGGAGACCCAGCTGTTCCCGGGACTTCCGGCCTCCAGCACCGTCGCCCCGGAAGAGTCGCCGCCTCCCCGGGACCTGAGACCTCACCAAGCTCGGCCGGGTGCAGAGCGCCAGTGGTGCTGTGTGCTGGCCCTGCTGAGCTCCAAGCCGCCCCAGGCCTACGCCGGGCCCAGCCCGCGGTTCCCTGGACGTGCCTGGGGGTCCGGGCGTGCACCTCGAAGGCTGGCGGATCGCGGACGTTGCGGGTGGTGACGCACAGCAGCAGCAGGCCAGCGAAGCCCGCCGCAGCCAGCAGCAGCGGGGGCAGTGGGGAAAGCACCTTTCAGGCCATAAGCGGGCGCGAGAGGATGAGGCATGGATGGGTGGTGGGGAGCGGGAAGGCCAAGGCGCCCCGGAACCGCCCGCTTGGTCCCAAGCGAAGCGCAGGTGAGCGCCTGGGTGCGCTCAGTGGTCTGCGCCCTCCTGGGTGCAGCTGTTGCCGGTTCGGCCGTCCTACCGCTCAGCACGAGTCCCCGGTACTGTCCTGGGGAGTCGCAGTGGCCGGAGAGCTGGTCAGGGACCCGGGCATGACGGTGTTCCCCTGAGGGTCATGCCCCTCTTCCTCCTGACCTGGAGCTGGGGCGCTGCCAGCTGCAGGCGCCACGTGGGTTCCAGGTGGGGCTCAGGAGGGAAAGCAGGCCCAGCAGCCAGCCCCAGGATTGGGCCTACAGGACAGTACCAGCCCCGGGCGCATTGCGGGGACTGCGTCATCAGCCTGTCCTCCAGGGGCAGACCAGGACAACTGACCATGTCGGGCCTGCCCTTGAGGGTCTCAGCAGGGGCTCTGTCAGACCTGCCTGGCATAGCCCCGGTGCTGGGGACAGGTGAGGATACCAGACAGGAGCAAGGCATACTGGGACACAGAGAGCCCAGAAACAAGGGACCAGCAGTTGGCATAATGGCTATGTTGCTGGACTCCCACATAGTTGACGGTGGTTTGAGTTCCAGATCCGGTAGCTTAAACTCACACTGGGTGCCTGTGCGTGCGTGCCCAAGATCCCGAGAGGAGAATGGAGGAGAAGGGATTGGCCCTTGGCCTTACCCCCTGAGGGGTGATTTCTCGCTTTTTATCTCTCTGTCTCTCTCTGTCTTTCTAGCGAGCGCACATGCCCTATAGCAAAAACCTCTAAAAAAAAAAAAAAAGGAGAGAGAGAGATTTTTACTATCGGGTGCATGCACTAGCCAGAGAGATGGAATGCTTCTCCTCTATTCTCTTGGGATTTTGAGCACGCGCGCGCACACACACACACACACACACACACACACACATGCACCTGGTGTGAGTTTTAAACCGCGGGGTCCAGGAATCAAACCGCAGTTGGCCATGTGGCAGTCCAGGGACATAAGCATTATGCCATCTGCTGGTTCCACCAAGAGAGGAATTTAACTACCTACTGGCACATGCCCCGGATGGTCTTGGAGGGAGTGGACGCTAGACCTGGCTGCACGGTGCGGACCTCGACTCGTCCCTTGTGGCACAGCAGCCTTCAGTGCCAGCTGAGGCAGACTAAGTTCTCACAGAGGGTCTGGCTGCATTCCCTGACAGGCTGCAGAAAAGCCGCAAAAGCACTCTGGTTGTAAGAAGCTCTGTGTGTTGGGACAAGTAGGTGGCATGCTGGGCTTGCATGTGGCTGACCGTGGTTCAAGTCCTGGACCTGGTGGCTTGCTTTCTCACTTTCCCTCTCTGTGTGGCTCTCTCTGGTCAAATTAAAATAAGTGAATAAATAAATAATTCTCTTTTAAAAATTATTTTATGTAACTTTATTTAATATGCACTTACAGTCTTTAAACAATATTCTAATCTGGAATTAATGCCTAGAGCCACATTTCATTTTTCTTTTCTTTCTTTTTGTCTTTTCTTTTTTTAGAAGGAGATTTTTCCTATAGAGTGTGTGTGGTCACCAGAGAGACAGAAAGGGAAAAAGCAAGAAATCACCCCCAAGGGGGACGGCCACAGTGCAACCCCTTTTCCTCCATTCTCCTGGCCACGGCGACCTACGACAATCCCACGTGTGGCCGCGTATCCGTCCATGATATGCTGACCTTGGCCAAGTTCAGGGCTGATGAGACTAAACACAGGACCGAGTGGTGCAGCGTGGGTGCTCAACATCAGGCCCCTTCAGTGCTGGCGCCTCGAGACCAGACGGACGGTGTGAGTATGGTCTGGCTTTCGCAGGGAGACGGAACGCTGATGACACTCTGGGAGCGGGAATCGCCGCTGAAGACCGGATTTGCTGAGGTTCGACACTGACGTTTGGTCCCACCTTCACACCCAACACGGGAAAGAACGAGGCAAGACAGCCCTCTTCCGAGAGGGAATTGCCCACGTTGGTGGTGCTGCCGACTGACTGCACTGGGCCTGCCACCCATGGTTCAGCATCTTTGGCCATAAAGACCAGCTTGCTGGCTACCAGGTGACCTTTGAAAGCTGGCAAGAAATGACTTTGCAGGGGGCTGGGGACTCAGCACTGCAAACGCAGGTCTGATGGGAGGAGCGTGGAGGAGCTGCAAACACAGTTCTGACTGGTCGTCTGGGCACGGAGTGAACCTTGCTTGGTTTTAACACGCCACCCGCTGGCCCATAAAATAACTCTTTAAATCTTCCATGGGAAGCCTGCGCCCCGCTTGTGCCGCTGCCATGTCGCTGGTGACCCGAGAGGTCCCAGCACCTTGTGTGGGTACTCAAGACCGACATCGGTAGGTGGTGGGAACCGCCTTTGCTGTCACAGCCACCGAGGGTGGGGCAGGGACGCGCTCACCAGAGGGCGGGAGCTCACTGAGGAGGCGACAGCTAGCACTGCCATGCGGAATCCAGGCCAGTGCAGGGCCCCAGGGGCACTTGAACAGGTAGAAAGATGACAGCAGGTCCCGGCCGACGGTCTAGACAGCAAGCTGCACGCAGGCCTGGAGACGGGAGACACGCCCACCGAGGGCCGCGCCACTCTGGGCCTTGGGGTCCGAGGCCAGCACACTAAGACCACTGGCCGTCATGGCCGTGCCATGGGCGTGTCCAAGAAGTCTGTGGGCCTTGTCTGTTAATAAATCGTGTATATGCCAAAAATAATCTTAAAGAAAAGAATTACGTTTGATATCCCAGAACATTACAAATTATGATTAAAACAAGTATACATGAAAAAAAAAGAGGGGCCAGTAGATAGTGCAATGGCTGCGTTGCTGGACTTCCACATAGTTGACCACAGTTCAAGTCCCAGACCTGGCGGCGTCAAACTTACACCAGGCACATGTGTGTGCCCAAGATCCGGAGAGGAGACTGGAGGAGAAGGGGTTGCAGTGTGGCCATCCCCCGAGGACTTATTTCTCACTTTCTGTCTCTGACGAGCACACATATAGTAAAAATCTCTCTAAAACAAAAAGGGTAAGGCACAGCCACAGAGCGGGCCACTCACGGTTCTGAAGACCGAGGTTCACCAAGTCTACAGACTGGGTGAAGGCAGGGGACCCCAAATACCCCAGTGTAAAAATAATCCACTTCTCTTTCTGTGTCCTGCTGTACAAAGGGTCAGAGTCAGATACAGGCTCTCATGTCTGGACCAAGCACAAAATCTTTAAGAACAGACGGGAGACCAGTAGCCGGTGCAATGGTTACGTCACTGGACTCCCACACGACTGACCACAGTTCAAGTCCTGGATCCGATGGCTTGAAACACACAGGGCACGTGTATGTGCATGCCCCAAATCCCAAGAGGAGAATAGAGGACAAGAGATTGCAGCATGGCCACCCCCTGGGGGGGGATCTCTTGCTTTCTGTCTGTCTGTACAGTGAGCACATGGGCTCTATACCAAAAATAAATCTTTCTTAAAAAAATAAGAAAGAGAGGCCAGCAGATGTTGTGGATAAAGGCGCTGGATTCCCACATGGTCAACCATGGTTCAAGTCCTGGACCTGGTGGCTTGCTTTCTCATTTTCCCTTTCTCTCTCTCTTGTCAAATAAAGAAAAAAAAAAACAATAACAAAGGGAAATAAAGGGAACCAGCAGTTAGCATAATGGCTGTGTGGCTGGACTCCCATGTAGTCGACTGCAGTTCACGTCCCGAATCCAGTGGCTTAAAACTCACGCTGGGCGCGTGTGCGTGCGTGCCCAACATCCCTAGAGGAGAAGGGATTGCGGCGTGACCATCCCCCCTGGAGGGTGATTGCTCGCTTTCTGGCTCTATGTCTCGCTCTGTCTGTCTGGCGAGTGCACATGCCCTATAGTGAAAAACCTCTCCAAAAAAAAAATGGAAATAAATAGATAATTATTTTAAAAAATAAGAAAGAATAGGTATAAATATTTCTTAAAAAAACATAAGAAAGAATAGGTAGGGACTGGCGTGGTGGTTAAGGTGCTGGACTCTCACTTGGCCGACCATGGTTTGAGTTCTAGACCTGGCGACTTGCTTTCTCACTTTCTGCCTTTCTCTCTCTGGTTAAACTTAAAAAATAATTATGATAATTAAAATTAAATTAATAACTTTTTAAAAAGAATTGTTTTAATTTATTCATTTATTTTATTTTAATTTGACCAGAGAGAGAGAGCATAAGAGAGAGAGAGAGAAAGAGAGTGAGAAAGCAAGCCGCCAGGACCGGAACTTGAACCGTGGTCAGTCATGTGGGAGTGTCCAGGGCCTTAACCACCACGCCACCTGCTGGTCCCAAATTAATAACTTTTTTAAAAAATACTTTTTTTTTTTAGAGAAAAAATTTTGCTATAGGGTATGTGTACTCACCGTAAAGGCAGAGAAACAGACAGAAAACAAGAAATCACTCCTGGGGCTGGCAGGTTGTGTGGTGGTTAAGGTGCTGGACTCACATGACTGACTGTGGTTCAAGTCCCAGACCTGGTGGCTTACTCTCTCTTTTTCTCTCTTACTTTGTCCCTTATTAGTCAAATTAAAATAATAAAGTTAAATAAAATGATTCTTTAAAAAAAAAAAAAAAAAAGAAAGCACCTATAGGGGACCAGCAGTTGGTATAATGGCTATGTTGCTGGACTCCCATGTAGTCGACCACGGTTCAAGTCCTTAACTCAGCGACTTCACACTCATGCCGGGCGCATGTGCATGCGTGCCCAAGATCCTGAGAGAATGGAGGAGAAAGGATTGCGCCATGGCCATCCCCCCAGGGGGTGATTTCTTGCTTTCTGTTTCTCTCTTTCTGGTGAGCGCGTGTGCCCTATAGCAAAAACCTCTCCAAAAAAAAAAAAAAGGATCCTTTATTTATTTCCATTTGTTATTAATTTTTAATCTGACCAGAGAGAGACAGAAAGGGAAAGCAGGAAAGCAAGCCACCAC